TAGAGATGCGTATCAGGCTGAAGCAGAGTTAATCACATCAATAGAGCAGAATAATTAAATTTTATCTGATCAAGAGTGGTGCTCAGTTGCAAGTGGTCTTTATTCTTCCTCTGCCTTTTGAAGGAGCCTGGGCCCCATTCCCTATAGCAAACATTTCCAGGACACTTTACTTGTTGAAAGGACAAAGTGAATCTCCGGCATTTCATAACTGGGAAAACTCCTTCCAACATCCAGAGAGCTGCTGCAATTCATTGTCAGCAATATCGGCCTAGATCAGAGGTAAACTTTGTACATAACAGTTAGAATATGGATCCATCTAAGAGGTAAACTTTGTACATAACAGTTAGACTATGGATCCATCTATGGGTCCCTAGATTTTCTTGGACTACAACTCCCAGAAATCCTGGTCAGCACAGTTGTGGTGAAGGCTTCTGGGAGTTGTAATCTAACAACATCTGGGGACCCAACGTTGGGAACCACTTTCATAGATGGACCCATAGTTAACCTTTATGTGCAGTGTTACCACTGAAAAGAAACTGTTAAATACTTCAGCCAAGCAAGCCATGCTGGTGCTCAAGCAAATGTTCTAGAACAGGGGTCTCAAACATGCGGCCCAGGGGCCATTTGCGGTCCCCCAGATGATAGTTTGTGGCCCTCGCCTTGCCTGCCCCCCCAAAGCGCCCACACATCCTCTGCTGTCAAGAGTAAAAAAAAAAGCCTTGCCTTGCTCGCCGGCTCTCTCCCAAGACAGCACCTCTTGCACCCTCCATCCAGAACTGAAGCCTGCCAGCCAGCCCACCTGTCTGTCGGCTAAGGAAACTCCTGGGCGGCTTCCTCGGGCTCTTGCTGCGCTTGGCGGAAAATCTGATGCTGCCCAGCCTCACCCAGACTCTGCCTCTAGCGGCCCCCAGGTAAATTGAGTTTAAAACCCCTGTTCTAGAACAAATCAACTGAGTGTGGAAGGGATGCAAGAATGGATGATTAACCAGTTTAACATCACTCTTCTGTTAAGAGGAAACAGATCAGAGAGATATTTATCCAACCTTTGGAAAAGGATGTCCCAACAAGATAAAGCTCTTAAGCACTGTTTACAAACTTCCAGGTAGTTCCATCTGCTAGGGATAATTTAGCAAACATGCACAAGGACAGATAGGGCATACTTCCATCCCATTCCTAACCATGCCCTTCCAGCAGCAAGCCACAGCCATTGACTCAAGGATCATCTCTATAAACTCTGGACTCCAGCCATCAAACAATATTCTACAAAGCCAGACCTTGGAAACTACTTCTTTAGATTACAATTCCCAAAATACACACTGCTGGCTCAGAGGTTCAGAGTGTTGTTGTGCAAATAAGTAATTTTACCAAGCTAAATAGCAAGTTTCAATCCACACATTTATAAGACACCAAGCAGATCTATATTGCCTGTTATGGCAAGGGTAGTACCACTGGAGGAGAGGGAAGAGAGTCAAGAAGCATTTATGATAGGAGTTGCCATACTGATACAGGCAGTGGCCGTTACAGGTCTGCATCTGTGGTCCTGGCAAGTTGCAACTGACAAGCTGCGGGATCTGTCTGCTGGCCAGAGCAAACACTCCTGCTGAAAGCAAGCTGCACCTTCTTGTGATCTGGAGGAAGTTAAAGGGCACAGTCAAAAATGAATGTGGAAATGCCTTGAGGGGAACCTAGGGCTCCAGTGGTTTCTCCAGCAACCCCGCAGAGCTGTAATCTATTTGTCAATGTGGCCAGTTGCACTTCCATATCCCTGTTTTCAGTTGGCCTTTTTGTTTTTCTATGCGTGCGCAGTCGGTCACATTCCTCCAGCCCTCAAGAGGCTGAAGTTTCAAGGGTCTGGTTCTGATTAACCCAGACTGTGAGTAACACCATATGTTAGGAACTGGGAAGTCATGAGCAGCATAGAATGGCAGCTGGAGCTGAGCGTGCAAACAGCAAGATGAAGCCGGCAGGAAAGAACATTCAAAACAAGTTATTGGGATGCATCAGACTTGACATGGGGGATAATGGCACAGCTCTTGCATTGCCACGTGGAAAAGTTAGGAACCATGAAATATCTACAGAGGGACACAGACAAGCACATCTGCATCTTGTAAGCAGAAGGTTGTGTAAGAGACAGAACCACCCGTAGGGTGAACCTCTTTCGTATTGCACAAGACAGACCCACTAACTCATTAACAATTGGAAGCATTCCAAACAGAAACAAATTCCACAGGCATTCTCAAGGTTCCTTCTAGCTCATCCCAAATAATGACAGAGAGAGAGAGAGAGAGAGGACAGGGTAAAAACTGCAAGAAAGTTTGCACATGGATACTAGTCAGTGTGTTATCAATGGCTGTGCCTCTCTTACTGTGGATCCAACATTCATGTAAGAAAATGAAACTGGGTCAAACAAGGCAGCTGATTGGTGGCAAGCAGAGGAAAAGTTGATGAGGAATATAAGAGGAGGATGAGAGAACTAGGCAAAGAAGTTGCGGAAGAAATTACAGTGTAATTTGCCTGGATCAACACATGTTGCTCGGAGGGCTGCTCAGATGAAGCCAGGACAACATCTCCATCACATGTGCTTTGTTTCAGCTCCTAGACCTGTAACCATTACGTTTACAATACAGACTTCCTCATCCTTGTACCCTCCAAATGTGCTGGATGACAACTGCCACCATTCCAGCTAATATGACCTCTGAAAGGTGCTTTACAAAGTATAGTATTATATCCACCCCTATGCTAGTAAAGCAAACAGCTGAAGAGGCTAAGCTCTAAATCTTACCTATTGTTTTCTTGTACATAAACCTATCCACAAGTCTGAGTTCCTTTATTACTTGAAATGCCAGGAGCAGGGGCACAGCTCCCTAGTTCATGTATTCTTGAAAACAAAACTGAGCATGGCGCTCCCTCCTTCTTCCCTGGCATTGCTAATTATACAAATGTATCCCCAAGATAGATTTACCACAGAAATCTCACAGAGCTCTCTGAGTTTGAGAGGCTTTTCTTCTGGCTATTTCCTTGCATTACACCAACTTATATATGCATTATGAATATACAGTACACTAGATATGTATAGAAAATAGGAGAAAGTAACCTAACTAGCACATTTTTAAAAGCCATGCCAGGAAACACAGACAACAGCTGATAGGCATAAGAGCATGAAAGTAGATGGCTATAGATGTGTGAAACAGCTTCATAAGGTCATTTATTCCCAAAGGTAGAATAAGACACTGCCAAGAGAGATTCAAGACATCATTCCCGTTAGTAGTGCTACTATGATCACAAACGTTCATTCAGTACAATGTGATTTAAGATCCATAAAGTTTGTATGTGTGAAAAACAAAAACAGTAAATCTAATTTCAGGAAGAGATCAAACACCACTTATTGAACGCTTAGTACCCCCCTCCCTTTAACAAAAAGCAAAGCAAAGCAAGCAAGCAAGGCATTCCATAAATTCACTGTGGACTATAATACCAGCCATGTCATTTTGTTGGAAACCATGTCTTGGAGTCAAGACACTTTACTGGATAATACTACAACTCTTGTAAACCGAGATTATGGTTTGGTACACAAGTACTGTACAAGTATTAAATGTTTTCTGAAAAAGCAAACTCTTCTGTGAACAATCCTACAGTGAGAGGTATTTCTGTCCCAGACAAGATGACAATATACTAAAAAGGATAAGCTTAATAGGCTATTATAAACACATAAGATATTCATGGGGTCATTCTGGAATAATTTCTAAAATCCACTCCTCTATGCTTCATCAAAAGACTTGCAGGCATTTTTTTCAGTTATTTACTTGAATACATAGACACGAAGCTGAGTAGGCCATCCCATATGCTTTAGACATCATTGGTCTATTGTTCTACAAGGAACAAGAACAAATAGCAGGAAAGTAGCTTAACAAATAACTAATGGGAACTGAAAACCAAGGTATGTGTCACTCAGGCCTGTTAAAAACTTGATGGATGCATTCCTTCCCCTTTCATCCTTGGTCTGCTTACAGTGATGGTGGGATGTCCTGCATCCTCCACTGTTCACATGCTCATCAAAAGCCAATGCCATCTCAAATGCCTGAAACTAAGCATGCAGTCTGGAAGAGAATGCCCAAATGAATCAATTTGGGAAGTAACAGGTATCTTTTTGTGCCCTCTAAAAGTAGACTGTTCCCAGTGAGCCCTAATTTGATTTGCCAGGGATGGAAGGAAGAAAACTGTCCCTCTCTGCAAAGGAAGCCTGACCACACCGAGAACCGCATCGATATAATTTTTATTTAGAATGGGAAACCAGCAGGCAGGTTCCTGCAGTCTATGAGCTCATCTCCTCCCTATGCTGGCTTTGCCTGGGGTGGCAGAAATCCAAGGATGCCTTCCATATCACAAGTATAATTTAGAATTCAAGCTCTGGCATTAAGGCCAACACAGCAAATGCTGCACAATAGCAAAGGGCATCTCATCATTTTCAGAAATGCCACAGGGATTGCCAAGATGCACATTATGCTCATGCAAGGACTTCAGCAAAAATAAGTTGATCAGTTAAAGAACGAACTCCTTGGGCTGACCTTGTATGCTCCACTCAAATCCAACATCAATGAATTAACAGCTTTAACAGTTAAGTTGCTCATTTCACCCATTTATACACAAGTGTGTCAATTTGCTGTTACCATCATTTTCCACATCTTGTTACTAAGCTTGAGAGATTAAATATGCATAGGCCAAAATGAGTTCCTTTGACCCACAAACACTCTGAACAATTCAGAGCAAGCCAATTTAACACATGCTGGCCAAACATTCCAATTTTCAGTTAAATCATCTCAGCAAACACCCCCATCCCACCCAAATCTTTTTCATTTAATGCTTTCCTTGCAAAAACAGCCCAAAGGAAATGCTGAAACAGCAAATGTTTCAGCTGTGTGCTATGCAACATAAACAGTCTCCCCCCAACCCCACCCCAGCCCTTTTAACACTGTTAACTGGCAGCTAAAGAATATACTTACTGCTAGGAACAGCATGCAGTACATGGAGAATGAAGAATGTCCAGAGTAAAATGACAGCCTGAAAAACAAGAAAATAAGCACATATCTATTACCTTTTGTTTTATATAAAAGTCATGAAGTATTCCTCAGAGCTTGCAGCTGCTTTTTTTAAAGAGGAGGGAAAGCAGATGTAATGCTGATTTGTCATATTTGAGGTGCAAAATCCCGTCTCCATCAAGCTTGCTAGGTAGCTTTGGGTAAGTTACTAATTCTTTACCTAACCTTCCTTAACAGAAATCTTGTTGTTTAGCAGAGTAAGTGGCATGGCATTAGGTTCACCGAATTAGCTTTACTGGCTTTCGTGAGTCAACACCTCTGTAAGTTCTGCTGATTCAAAATGGGCTTACTGTACGTAGTTGTGTCTGACAATGCTAAGCAACAGGATTTCAACCACTGTGATGACAAAGCGCTGCTCTTAGGCCTTTGGAAGAGAAGTATATCATAATAGTAATATTGTTTATTAAGATATATAACAATTTTACTCAGGTCAGTAGAAGAACTAAATAGCACACTTCTGAATAACTAATAGTGTAACAGAAGACTTCCTATAAGCTTCACAGAGAAACTAAATAAAACAATTAGTTATTCTGAGAGACGATATGAACATCACTGGCATCCACACAATGGAAAAAGAGCAAAGGTCTTTAAGGTACATGTACTTTATGAGACAAGGCCTACTTCATCAGATGAAGTAATGAATAGAAATCAAGGTGGGAGAGTCATTTCTAGCAGGTAGGTAGGTAATGAACAGCCATTTAAAGAGGTGTTTCAGACATATGTGTGGCATTAAGTGCAGCATGCAAAACGGAGGACTGTTACAAACTATATGTCTCTGAAGTACGCATAAACCTCACACTATTTAGTTAGTCAGTTAATTTATATACTGCCCCATTAGTCCTGAAGCTATGTCTTAAGTTTTGTCTGTTTGTTTAAAATATAGTTTCAGAAATCACTTAATATATGAGACTAGGCAGAAATAAGTACTGTAGGTTCGATAAACTGCACCATCACATGACCAATTACAGTGGTTTGTTAATTAAGGGGAACCATTATCAGCTAGCGTAATGGCCAGCTGCAAGAACCTAATCAAGAGAGAGTCCTCTATCTTCGGGGGCAGTTGCCCAAGGTTACAGGGGTGTATAATACTAGCAAAGGTTTCCCTCAAATTATATTTTTGTGAGCGGGATCATTCTCAAGATTTGGTTGTTGGTTTCTTGTAACACAGTGTAACTTCTTTGGTTGGTAACTGCAAGTGACTACCTAAGCATTATTTGGATTTGAAGCAGAATTCAAAGTAGGGGTTCCAACTTATCAAAACCAGTTTATTCTTGGGTATAACTTTTAGCACAAGACACTGCTAGTCAGCACAGCCTGACCTTGTATCATGAAAATGTGTGTACTGCTATGGAAATACTAATGTATATTTTACCTTTCCCTGCTTTAATATGTGCTTTCAGTACACAGACTATGGCCAAAACCACGTTTTCCTCTATGTAACTTCAGCAAAAATGATGGAGGGTGCCAAATTCCAGCTGGAAATATTATCTGTCCCTTACTAAATCTGTCAGGCACACACACATACACGTACGTCTTCCTTCTTTCCCTCTGCCTGTCCTAGTCTATTAATATTTTAAACAGAGAGGCACACACAAAAACCAGACAATAGAAAGTCCCTATCGAACATTCCTCAGAAGGCAACAAACCCTGTCTTCCAAAAGGAATTCTGAGTCAGAACATTCCTTCCCCCCTGCCAGCCAAGGGCCTGAATGTTCCAGAGTCGGCTGCACTATATTAGTGCACTGTAAACTTCCCTGCCACCTTTTTCCCTCCCACCAGCCCACAACGTTACCACTGGATAAATAAGCATTCCCCAATGTGAAAGTATCCCATCGATGGAAACATCGGACCTTTATTTTGTTTGATATCTTCCCTAGTCTCTTCATAACATTCTTAGAAGATTTAAATCATTCCAGTAGCAGTTCATACATCAGGCCTCGAGAACTATCAAGATGTATATTATTTTTTCATGACAACTGGTTTCACATGTTTTTCTCCTGGAAGGGTTTATTTCAACAAGTCAGATAATACAAACCCAGAGTGCATATTTTATTTGTACTTCTTACTCTGGTCATTAAGTTTAAAGTGAACACGTTATTTAAAAAATAAAAAATAATAATCTTAGAACTGCAGAGCTGGAAGGGACCCTATTGGTCATCGAGTCCAGCCCCTGTCAAAGAGGCGGGGGGAGGGAATCGAACTCTCAACCTCTCACTTCTTAATTAAATGCCTAGACCACTGTACCATTCAGCAGTTAAACAGAACAAGCTAGTTACGTTTGTGAAGAAGACTCTTAACGTGAGGACAACATGCACTAATACCTATTATAGAGGCTCATCTAACAGGGAATACTTTCGCATGGATTATTTCCATGCATACAAAGATATGATGAAATGCATCTAATGGAATCCATCTGCCAGAACACAGGGAAATTAGGCTTGTAATGCTTTTTGATACACTTTGCACACTAGTTTTTATATTTGTGAGCCACAGCAGTTCTTACCAAACAGGCCTGTGACTTCTGAAAAAGTTCTATAGACATTTCACAATCCCATCATAATAATGGTGCCATAAAATGCCACGTGTTCTCTATTTTTAAAAAATAAAAAGACTTTGACAGCTTTATGTTCTGAGTAATAATGTGACCCAATTATATTAAGCTGTTCAACCTTGTGCATGTCACAGAACTGAAAAAGAATAGGAACTGAATTAACTCTAAGAGTGTCTTAGGTTTGGAAAAGAGACCTGAAAGCAGATGGAAATAGAATGCTAGGAATACAGTACTGTATGTGGATTTTGCAAACTATATTCAGAATAAGAGACACATAAAGGTCCTAATATAACTACATGGTACCAGAGTGACCCTGAAAAACAAAGAACATTAATTATATTCACCATCTGAGTGGGAAAAAAAGCTTTTCTTCTTTTCTCATAATGCTAGAAATGAGGGTCATTCAATGAAACTGTGTGAAACTAAATTCAGGCTGCATGTGTTCTGTGCTATGAAGTCAGAAGCAATTTACAACACCCCTAATAGGGTTTTCAAGGCTAATGAGATATTTAAGGAGTGGTTTCCACAGCTGAGCAGGGATTCAAACTCAAGTCCCCTGACTCCTACTCAGCCACTTTAGCCACTACATCACACTAGATATTTCATTTTCAAGTTACCAGAAATTATTACTTCAACAAACCCACACATTCCTTTTTAGAATTCGATACTACAAAATATGGCAGCCTCTATCTTATTCTCTTTAGGATGGAATTAAGTCAAGTCTATCAGTAGCTATCATGACTATGGAGAGCAGAGGTAAAAAGAAACAGATTTTCAAACATTTCAGATTCTAACTCCTAAATTGTCTTCTTATTTGCCCTGTGTTAGCAAATGCTTGTGGGACTTGAAGCCCAAAATATTTGCAGCTATGTATTTGGTCTTCTCCAAATAAAGATCATCCACGTTTAGAGGAAGTATGCTACTGAATGCCAGTTACAAAGGACAGCTAATACTATCCTTTGTGGAAAGCAAGATTCTGTACCAATGGGACTACTCATCCGGTCCAAAAGGAAATACAGTGGTGCCTCGCATAGCGATGATAATCAGTGCAGCAATAATCACTGCAAAGCGATTTCGTCGCTATGCGATTTTTAAAAGCCCATAGGAATGCACTGAAACCCCTTCAATGCACTCGTATGGGCTTCAGACTCACCTTTAAATGAAAATCCTCCATACGGCGGCCATTTTCGCTGCCTGGTAAGCGAGGAATCCGTCCCAGAAAATAGCGGGCGGCCATTTTTTTTACCCAGTGGCCATTTTGGAACCGCCGATCAGCTGTTAAAAAATCATCACTTTACAATGATCGTTAAGCGAAACAGGGCACCGATCATCACAAAGCGTTTTTTCCCTATTTAAAACATTGCAATGCGATTGCAAAAGCAATCGCAAAATCTTCGTCGCTATGCGATTTCATCGTTAAACGGGGCACCCGTTAAGCGAGGTACCACTGTACTGATGTCTGATATGATATATACACATAGGTCAGCTGCCGCCAACCCCCCCCCCCCAAATCCAATGCAGGAAGGTCTACAATGACACCTGTAAATACATTTTCCTGAATGTGTTTAAAGTACTCATGTGTCTTTTGGGTAGAGGAGACATCATGGAAGAACGTATTTATGTTCATTTTGCTTAAAGCCCAAGCCATTCCTGGCTATAATACCTGAAAAGGGCAGAGGAAACCTATAGTCATACTTTCCTTTCCTATTATAAACAAAAGCCCAGAATAATGAAAGGCAGAAACCGCAGTCCCATCAGTAAAAATCAAATATTGTTAAATGGATTTTTAAAAAACCAGAAGGATCCACCCTCTGTAATACAAATAAGAACTTAAATAAGAGGGAAATAATGTTTTAGAAAAATGTTAAGAAAGCATTATTCAGGTGTCGTCAGGAATTTGGTTATATGGGTTCAAGTCAACTGTAGAAGAAAATAATTTAGAGCCCTGAATTTGAGGGCCTTCCCAGTGGCTGCTCCCAGACTTTGGAAGGCACTGCCCCAAGAAGCCAACATGGTCCTCCTCTTTTGGCCTTCTGTCAACAGGCAAAGACTTTCCTTTTTCAGGTAGGCCTTTAAGCAATAAGCGGGAATCTAAAGAACTCTCTATTTATGAAATATAGATATTTTAAACATGTTAATATGTTTTTGGAATTGTTTTAATCCAGTTTTGTATAATATATTGAACTTGTTGTACAGCTAAATTGTTGTGAGCCACCTTGAGTCCCTTATGGGGAGACAGGCAGCAGTTAAGTTAAAATTAATGGGGTCAAATGTAAATCATAAGGGTGATCTCTTTTGGGTTTTTGGGATTCTGACTCCCAGAATTCTTTTTTTAAAAAACCCTGAGGCAGGATTTTGGGAGTTTCATCTCAAAAATATAACTCCTACAGTCACTTGTGTTTTGCTCACCT